TTCTCCCGCCAAAACTTTTATGTGTTCGTACATGAGAGGCGCACATAGTTGGGATTGAATTTGAAATCTTTAAGTTGTGCTTGAACAGGGAACATCACCATAATATTCCAGCTTTCCAGCTTTTCTAACTCTCAAGTTAGCAGTTCCCCTGCCAGAACTTTCACGTGCTCGTATCTAGAACTCGGACATTTGTTAAGCTTGATACCGCGTTTCCGGTTAACTTTTGGCCAAGGGACCCACTGTCGAAATTTTAGTGTTAGAGTTCACTTGACTGCGGAGTTGAAACGTACGAACAGATAGAAAGACAAACAAACAAACACACACGTGCATACACCGTAGGTCGTCGTAATTTGCGTTTTTGCATATATGTAAATTGCAAAAACGCGTGTTGGAAGAGGCTGTGTGTGTGTGTGTGTCCGTGTGTCTGTGTCTGTGTGTTCGCAGTTTTTGTCACCCAGTTTCAACTCGAGAACCAGAAGAGACCAGAAGGCTGAAACTTTGGGGATATGTGCCCATACCATGCGCGACCCTCCCGTTTTAATTTCATCATAGAAAGCTGAAACTTTGGGGATATGTGCCTATACCATGCGCGACCCTCCCGTTTTAATTTCATCCCTTTTGGAAAGGCTGAAACTTTGAGATATGTGCCTATACCATGCGCGACCCTCCCGTTTTAATTTCATCCCCCGCGGACGCCTGGGTGCCGCGTACGGACGCTTTAAAGAAGTATGCAAATTTTTTGGTGGGAAAGCAATCTCGGGAACTACATGAGCTAAGGAGCCGAAACTTTGTAGGGATATTCCCTGTAAATGTACTAGCTAAAGATTTCAAATTCAGCTCCCAGTTGTACGTGATATTCACGTAAGGGCGCATGAAAGTTGTAGGGGGAAAATTGCTAATTCGGGTACCAGGAAAGCTAGAAAGCTGAAATTTTGGAGGGATGTTCCCTATCCAATTGCAACTCAAATATTCCAAATTCAGCTCCAAGCTACTCATGTTACTCATGCAAGGGCATATGAAAGTTTCTGCAGGAAAATTACTAACTTGGCAACCAGAAGAGCTGGAAGGCTGAAATTTTAGACCGATGTTCCCTGTCCATAATGCAATTTAAAAATTTCAAATTCAGCATTCCGAGCATGTGGAGTGCCCAACTATGAATGTGTGAGGGTTTTGGTGAGAAAACTCGGTAACCAGAAAAGCTGGGAGGCTGAAATTTTGAGGGAATGTTCCCTGTCCAAGTACAACTTAAGTATTTTAAATTCGGCGTTGAGGTACGCGTGGTCTTACGAGCGCTTAAAAGCCTTGACGCGAAAATTTCTCACTGAATAACTAGGTTACTTTTAAAGAACGACTGTTAAATGGAAATTATACATTTACTTTGCAAAATTTGTGGTGATTTATGCTGGTGACCGCAAAAGGTAAGTGTAAAGCAGCCGCCATTCACACAGTTAATGACGTGAGTAATTAAAGTCCGGTGCAAAAACGCGTAATCGCACAGGTCCGTCCAGTGCGTTCCATCCTGGATTACATTTGCATATGGGTAAAAATGCATAAAAAGTAATTCAGGTTGGCACTGCAGTGCTGCACGTACGGATTCTTGAAAGAATCTTCAACAGATCGTGGAGTTGCAATTGTAAATCCAGGACAGATTGTGGTTGGTGGTGAAGTGCTGAAAAATGGTCGACAGTACGCGTTCGATTATATTGCTGATATATTGAAGATGAGAAACGAGGACGACAGGTTCTTAATTTGCATTTGTTATAAGCTCTGAAAAACCTCTCCTTTTATGTAATTTTCTTTTTCTAGTCGCTAAAGCATCTTGTGATAGTCTAAGAATTGCAGCATCCAAAATAAGATGGCAATGCTCGGAGGTCAGTATATTCTGAACACGGCAAAGGCTTTAACAAGTGCTTCTATCAGGAGAACTAACGGACTGATAATTTCTTTGCTAAAAAAAATAGGCGTAATTGCAAACTGATTAACAAATAATTCAGCATCAATTAAACTAACAGAAA